TGTTTTTACAATCTTATTGATAACTATATCTTTATAAAATTCTATCCAGCTTGCAACAGGCCTCGAGTATCGAGGGGGGGACTGCTAGTTTACCGTATTGTAGCCATCTTCATCAGGCTAAAAGTGGGCCACTTTTCCAACAGACTATGGCATAGTGCAAGTCCTTGGCGCCCACCGTAAGCTTCCTCCGCACGGAATTGACAAACTTGCACGGGAAAATCCCCTGGCAACCGGCAATTGACGAAATAAGACCCGTACTTTGGACGCTTGATTCTTAGCCAAGTTAAATTTATATTGGAATCCTATCTAGCGCCGGGAAAAAAAGTCAGGACACTACCGGTAGTCTGCCGTAGTAAGGGTCAGAAGGGGTGGCCCGAGGGGAAATCTCTCCAGGGGGTTAGCGGTAGTACAGGGAATAAATGATCCGTCTCCTCTGGAGCCTGGAAACTCTTCGCCACACCTAGTTTGCCGTACCGTAGCGTTTATTCCGGTCTCCAAGTACATGCACAAGTACTGTGCCCCAGAGGCTAGAGGCTCTGGCAGATGCACCGATGCAGCAATGCATAAGAGTCCAACACGGAACGAAAACACCAAAACGCGGCAACCGTTTTATTCGCGTTTTGCCATCGTCTTGTTCGTCGCAAGGCATCATACCATACAGTACAGTACCGTCCCGCATAGTACAGTACAGCATTGTACTCGTACAGTAGGGAACGGCACTGTGACAGCACAATATTCTACTCATACCGGTGGCAGAACGACCCCCCTACGGTAGTGGTCAACTACCGCGAAAACTCCTGAAACCGGAAACCCCATTACCGGCACGTCCCCGGACCACCCTGCAATCTCCCGGATCCAAAGAGTCGAAATCTTGCGAGGGGGATCACGCTATCCCTCTCCCAGACACGATGGGATGGGGATCCCCGCTCGGGATCGGGTTTCGCAATTCCGTCAACCCGTCCGTCCACAACTGCACCAAATCGAAGCCGTGCCGCGGACGGACGGACCAACGCGGTTACTTCCGCCCACTCACGATCCGGTACGGTACTGTACTCTATCTGCCAAACCGCCGAGAACATTGGGAGAAAAATGAAAGGAAAAAAAGAGAGCGCTCCAGGAAAAGTACAAACATGCCCAATCCGAGGAATTGGAGAGATGAAAAAAAAAAAAAGTGTCGGGGGCGACAGAATGATGCTGGTGTTCCGCCCTGGTATCGTACTCGTACCGGTACTATACTCGAGTATTTTCTGCACTGTGCCAAGATATCGGACCAAGCAGGCTAGCATTAACGGGCGGTACTTGTATAGAGCCACGATGGGGCGACCGTGCACCAGTGAACTGTACGTGTGGTACGAGAAAAGATTGCAGGCGAGAACGAAGGCAAGCCAGAAGTGCCGGTTGCCCCATCCAACACCGCGAGTACCGTACCGTACTCGTACCGTACTCGTATAGCAATGGAATTGGCAGGCACTGTATTCTACCGTACCCAATGTACGGGTGGATCAGATCCCTGAACTTGCGACCCACTTCCTATGGGGGTGGGGAATGTACTGTACTTGTACTGGAGCGTTGCCAAACACATAGGCGGCCATGCATTTGAACCCCCCCCCCCTCCTTCCCCATGAATCTGTTACAGAAACATCGCCCCCTGTGCATCTTACTCGAGCGGATTCGCCGAGTATGATACGTTGCCTCTGGCCTACGTCATTCTGGGCTCCGTGGATAATGCATCCTCCACGCCCACTTTTGACCGCGCAAAGCTAGTGACCCAAACAACGAACACCACAGCCAGGGAAGGCGAACCAGCTCAGGTATGATTTATATTTCAGCACCCAGAAACTAACAGCAAACCTATCCATCTATCTATCATGTCTAAGATACAACCCCTCAACAGTATGCTCCATACCCACTCTCTCGCACCCATCCCATCCCGTATCGTGTAGCAAACTCCAATCAATGTGAATTAGTAATAATGGTAAGCCGCTCCCATCTCCAAAATCCGATGCGAACGAACCCACTCGAGCCATGCTGATAGACACCTGGTAGTAAAGGGAGAAAAATGCCAACGGCAAATGGACTTGTCCACGCAACAAAGAAAAGAAAGGAAAAAAAAACCTAAATTCAGTAGCTAACCAACCAAGCACTCCGAAACCCGTCAAAAAAAAAAGAAAAAAAAAAAAAAAGAAAAGAAAGAGAGAAAGAAAAGCAACGATAACGGAAATCCCCAGAACTACCAGTCGCACCTCACCATAACGAATGCCAAGAGTTCAGGATTTTTCGTTTGCTATCGAGGTTTCGAACGAAATCCCTTATAGCGAGAACCATTTGTATGGGAGCGGGGGGTTAGATTCGCAGAGGATTCGTTCGTGATAGCGAGGTGCGACTGTACTCCAGAACAAGATAAATGAGCAAGTAATGAAGGCGGCGATTTGAGCCGGAAACCGCATTGAGGAAAGCCGTTCTAAACCACGCCCGCCTTGGCGCCTACCACCGGCTTGTATTTGACCATTTGCGGGAACTTCTCCTCCCATCCGCCCGTGAGCTTTGCCTTTGCCGCTGCTCTCGCCGCCATTACTGCCGTCGGAATAGAGGTTGCGACAGGTGGATCCTGATGAGACATCTTGGATGGCTTTAGGTACAGGTTTGTCTTGCCTTGGTCCTTGCGAGGTTGTAGGGGTAGCTTTTGATGGGGGTCGGTCGTGGGCGAGGAACCGGATTGTTGTTTCTCCTGGTGAGGAGGATCGAGTATCGCCGGCGCATACGTAGTTGCAACAGGCGGAGAAGCAAATCGCTTCTTGTCAATGGCAGGGCTGTGCTCTGCTGACGCAGTGGCAGTATGCGGAGCAGTGAAATATGTCTTCCGCGGAGTCTTGGCAGTTGTGATAGGCGGAGAGGTAGATAGCTTCTTCTCGGAGACTGAATCAAACCTCGCCGGCGCACGTGCGGTTGCAACCGGCGGGGTAAACTGTTTCCTCTCGGAGCCGGGATTGGGATTCGCCGGGGCAATTGTAGTTCTGTTTGGTGGCGCAAACTGCCCGCCTCCAGCGCGGGGCCCGGGTCTCGCCGCCGCGGGAGAGGGACTTCCCGACGAAGAAACTGGCTTCACAACCGCCTCAGCCGGGGACCTCCCAGAGGAATGGTTGGCGTACTTTGAAGCATTCAAACGGGCGCCCCCGTCCGCCCTTACACCACCGGCCAGCAACTCGCGAATCTTCTCCGCCCACTCACTCTTGACCTCAGGCGTTGCCTTTGGCGCCACACCTCCTGAGATCCGTGCCTTGGGTTTCGCCACCTCTTCTTCTCGCCCGATCTGCGCTCCCTTCTTTGCCCTTGATGGCGCCGCCGCCGCCGCCTTCGCCTGCGCCGCCTCGCGAGCAGCCTTTCTGGCCAGGATAGCCTTCACCTCGGCCTCAGTGGGAATGGGACACCCTCCCCCGTCCCCACCATCCCCCCAGGGCCTATTCTCCGGATCATCCTCGTCGAGGTCCCTCCTCGCACCCTTGCCCTTCCCTTTCCCATTCCCGTTTCTCGGAAACTTCCTATTCGTCCTCTTGGGGAACCACCTAGAGCCCTGTTTCTCGTGAAGGTGTATTTCGCAGTCATCATCGTAGCAGACGGTCCAGCTCATTTCTGCATGCGGGGAGGGCCCCGAACGCTCTCGTGGGGCAGTGGAAGCTCGTGGGAAGTGAATTGGGTCACCCCAGGAATTTGTTGGCTTATTGGACATTTTGTCGATTTTTCTTGGTGCGGGAGAACAGAGTCAGCGACAAACGAAATGAACAGACAGACAAACAAACCAAACACGAAAGGAGAGGAAGGAGGAGCGAGAGAGGAGAGATTGTACTATTTATTACCTTTGTGCGAGGGAATGAAGGGAAGAAGAAAAAGAAAGAAAGGGAAAAGAAGAAAAAAAGGTTAAAAGGGGAGGGGGGTGCAGGTAAAGGGAACAAGGATGGATGGATGGACGGATGGATGGATGGGCCTTTGCAGGCGTGGGTGGGTGGTGCGAACGGCAAAGGTTAAAATCGAGATGGTTGCTGGCCTTAAGCACTCGAGCATATGGAGATAGGAGGCCAAGTCAGGACGGTGGCGGGTTCACAACCGCGCGCGCATAATTGTGCATGGGAGAGGGAGAGGGAAGAGAGGACGATGGTGGAGGGAATGGGGAAGAGTACCGCACGAGTACTCGTACTGTAAAGGTGGGACAGGAGAGAGGCAGAGGACGGGATTCATTACCCTCCTGTAGGAAGGTGTCAGACAATTTTAGGTAAAGCGAATCAGGTGAGGAGGAAGAAGGTGGAAGCTGATTAGGTGAGGGTGGCCGGAATTGGAGTAATTTTTTCCCTTTTTTCCTGATCACTCACTTCACTTCCCTCTGTTACCGTATCATAATTTGATTGCCTGAGTGAACTCGAGTAGACTACCGTACTCGAGTACTCGAGTACAGTGCTGTGCCGTGCTGCACCCCTAACTTACCCCATCATAGCCTGTTTCACGGACGCGGAAGCTTAATAGCGGCCCGCTTAACCGAGCTACGATAGCGCCATGTATTGTGTACTGTACACTACCATACCCAGCCTTCCCGCCCTCTACCGTACACTTCTACTCGTGCAGCATCCGTAGCTCACGCCTTAGACTACGGCTATCCGGCTGCGAATCACATTCCTCGCAGTAATAGCGCTAAATTTATGAGCCGTATTCTGAAGTGTTGTACCTGCTCCCCCCCCCCCCGCACGATCAATTTCCGTCCCCTTCAGAGTCCCTCTGTACTGTACCGGTACTGCACCCTCTGGTGTATGTATGTATGTATGTATGTATGTATGTAGGGACGAAGGTACTCTACTATACATGGAAAGACGAACCGACAGGCCGACGGAGTGAGAGAGAGACAATGCTAAAGGGGGGAAGGGAAAGGGGGAAGGGAAAAAAAGAAAAAAAGAAAAGAAAGAAAAAAAAACAGGTCTACTCTACTCTACTGTACTCTAGAAACAGTCAATCCTCTAATAAACGCCCGGAATCAACTTCCATTTCACCCTTCCGCAATACTTTTCCCAATCCTCCCCGTATTTCCCTAAGCACCGCGAGTGATCCCTCACGCACCGTTGAAGAAGTAGGGTCGTCATGAAAACTGCGTACCACCAGGGCAGGATATTATGCACCCCGCACACCGCGCACCCGCTGTACGAAAGGACCAAATCCCCCAAGTAATTCGCGTGACGAACGATTCCCCACCATCCTGCAATACGCGGGTCAGCTTTGTGCCACCGGGCGGGACGGGAATGTTGTGGGAAGAAATTAGGGTACGCACCCGAGCAAAGGAGTAATGATTCGTGGGTTTTTCCGTCCCCAGTCCTGTATGTGGTGCGTATCACCTCCGCCTGCTTCCCCCATATCTTACACTCCCCGTTGGTTCTTCGGACAACATCTTTCTGATAATTCACGCTGCGGAAAACGACATACCCCGAGATACCGATCAGGAGTATCGCGGCCGCGACCGGCGTCGACAGATTAACCGGGTACCGTGCCAGATACTGCGCTTGCAGAGTGTACGTCCCGGGCAGCCAGACCATACTCCCCCACGCGAGGTAAAATCCGTAGTGATCATGACAGATATCAATAGTGCGCAGATACCAATCCTCGTTCACGAAAAAGTCCACGACATAAAAGGCGTGAAGGATGTTGACAATAATCATAGAGTTGGAAATGTATCCGTGCAATTGGAACTGCCAAGCGGCGAATGAGAGGTTGCTAAGGACAAGGTAAGCACAACACTCATCAAGCGCCCGGGAGCCCCGTTTTCCGGGAAATTTTCACAAAAGAAAGCAGTGGGTGGGGAGGGTCCAAGCTCACATCAGGGTCCAGGCAACGATCCCCGGTCGCCCATTGTGGAATAATTTGAAATCCCACCATTCACCGAACCTAGGGTTCAACTCGATCCCCATGTAAAAGTCGTAAAGTATGGAGCCTAAAAGCGATCAATTCGCCGTTTTTTCCTCTTCAACCCCAAGAAAAAAGAGAGGAGCGACGGAAGCTCAGGTTTTCTGACTCGGGGAAAACTCACCACTGAATTTTCTGTCCGCCTCGTGGGTCGGAAACAAGTGCGCTTTCAAATAAGCCATCACGGCAAGAAGATAGCCGTAGACGTTCGCCGCGACCAGCAACCCCTCCCAATTCTTTGCAATTACGGCCGGGTCCAACACTCCAGCGTAAGCCGCCACCACGGCAATCGCGTGCGTAACGACCCAGGCGTGGATACCGTTCACACGATACGGCAGAAGATGTCCGGCGGGCGTACGTTGTCCATACCCAATGGGACTGGGCAACCACGCATACAGCGCCGCCTGCAATAGCAGCCAGCCGCCGTAGGCGGCCGAGGCGCCAGCGGTGGGCCGGGGGGCATAGTTGACGATGAATTCCACCGGATGCGTCGTCATGAAGGCCCACAACGTCGGCAGCAATCCGCCGTCAAAATGCTTCAGACATATACACGCGAGGAGGGCCAGCAGCGGACAGAAAAGCACAATGGCGCCACAACCCATCACCGTAACCCACTCATTCCCGGAAAATCGGCCCCATGCGGGATTGACGTGTTTCGCCGCGGGCAACGGCAGCCGGAGGAACTTTCTCGAGAGCGGTTTGTGTGCTTGTATCGTTGCCCGATGCCTGTCCGAGAGCAGGGTGTACGGAGCTTCGAATGAGACCTTCTTCGTCAGTGCCTCAGTGATTGTCGTGGATGATGTTGCCGGTGATGAAATCGGTGCGGCCTGGTCGGCGTCCAGAAATGAATTGGGTGAGGACAGGCTGCACAGGGACGACCGCCGCTGGCGGGTTAAAGAGTGGTGACCCAGAACCATTCCACCAATCTGCGGGTGAAATTGGGGGGAGAGGGGGGGGGGTTGATGGGATACGTGGTACTGTCAAAAGGAATGAGGAGGTGAAGGGGGGAGAAGGGGAAGAGATGAAAGGGAGGAACACAAGGGGGAGAAGAAAAAAAAAAAAGGAAAGAAAGAAAAAAGTGTTGCGTGGGCCTGGAATTGGAACGTGGGAGTGGGAGTGGTGAATCAAAAGCGATGAAGAAAGTTGGCTTGAGGGAACGGGGCACTGTAAGTACGGGCACTGTAGGGTATAGCGGTCCAGTGGTATCCCTCTCGTTTCGTCCTCTTGGTGCCGCACCTGAAGTCTTCCCTAGCCAATACCGCTCTCGTTTCCGTCGGTGCGGTTTTATTCCTTTTCCTCCAGTCCCTCGGCCTCTCGCAGGAGGACCAGGGCGTTATTATGGCCTCCGGACGGGAACAAAGCGCGTCCTCCTGATTACGGCTACTTATTACCGGGATTGGGGGGAGGAAAGAAAAGGGAAAGAAAAGGGAAAGAAAAGGGAAAGAAAAGAGAGGGAAGAGATGAAAGAAATTCCCCGGGTGGTCCCCATCCCTAACCTGCCCTCCTCGCCCTCAGCCTCACGAAAGGGGGGCGAGTCCAAAAGTTTGGGCTGTGATGGAAGGGAGCCAAGCAAACAGATGCAATTGTGTCCTTCCCGGCCCAGAATAGCTTCTCCGCAATGCTGCCTGCACTGGCACGGTTGATTGGGAGAGAGGGCATCATGAGGCTCATCAGATGGTTTGTTTGTCCGCACGCAGGGGCACGAGTAGATGATAAACAGGACACAATACCGTATTCGTCCGCCCACCCATTGATGATACCCAAGCAAACCCGGGATTGCGGGAACAAACCAGAGTGTTGCCATGGACAGGGCCCAGTGCAGGTGCCTTGCGTGCTGTACGAGTACTCGGACTGACTGTACTCGAGCACTCGCACCCGCACCGGCAGTGCATGGGATGCACGTGCAGCCATCCTCATCTCTCCCCCCAAGATCCCTCTCCCACCCATCATCAGCGCCCGTGAGCTTGTTTATCCATCCACGGTACCGCACGGTTCCGGTAATCCAGGAGAGTATTCTCCTTACTTCTCCCGGGCCCCGGACTATCTCAATGACATGATATCATTGCACCAACTCCTCTCTACTCTCTACCAGTACTCTCCTCCTCCTCCTCCCACCCCCAAGGCCCCTGACCCATCCGATCCGGAGGGAATCCCCTCGCCACGTCGTACCGTATCACTTGTGCTCGCAGCAGCAGGTACGTGAAGGAATGGCGGTATCACAGGGATCCGCAAAATACTGTGCCGATACGCTACATGGCAAAGAATCCGGACCTGCCTGAGCCCCCCCATACAAACCCACCGCCCCTGCTTTCGGGTGCTTGCCTGCAACTGCGCTTGTGCGAGCACAGGTACGGTGTGCAGCCCCCCCCCCCCCCAACGTGTCCCAACCCCAACATCCAAAAATAACCTTCCCTCCCTCCCCAACATGTTACCGTAACTCGCCACGCCAAGCCGTTCATAAGAACCTTATCCCGACCTCTTTCCTTCGCTCCTCCTCCCAGCCCGGCAGGATATACAGTGATGGGCGAGTGAGGAAGCGCGAAGGCAGCGATGATGGCGGAGGGGAATCCGTTCCTGCAGGTACACTAAAAAGCGGAGGGTAGCGCGGCTGGAATCCACTCGTTGCCGGGGGGCCCTTTGGTACGGTAGCGCCCATTCGGGATTAGTGGCAGAGTGAGACGGAGCAAGGGGACGCGAGAGGTGGGATCTGAGTGACCGACGGCTGACCGACCGTCTCCCGTATGATGAGTGGTACGGTAGCGAGAGTGGACAAAAATTACGACGGTGAACTTGGGTGTGTCAGCTTGGGGCGTACCGTATTCCTGCGGATCTGTTGGTCCGGGCAGTTGTGGTCTCCGCATACCGTAGGGCTGTACTCGAGTACCGTATCCCATCCTTCCCTTTATGTTTATGTTGATAGCAGTATTATACCTTTACGGTACGATACGGTAGCCTATGATACCATGATTGATAACCCTAACCTCAATCGATTGTCCGAAACTCTTATTTTTTTGGTTGTGAGGCTGAGCTCTGGAACCGCTTTGGGTGGTGTTGCGTTTGCGAGGAGCGGAAAACGTTTTTTTTCCTGCGCGTCGTGTGTGGTACGGTACCGGCTGTCTTCCCGAAGTTTGCCCTTTCGCCCAGAATACGGGTCTAGGTGAAGGGTGGGTTACACTGAGCCGGGTATCTGTTATGGGTTTGACGGTGCTGTACGAGTATCATACGCGTACAAGTATGTTTTACGTAGGGGACGGGTGGACGGGTCAATACCTGCACTCCGCATGAAGGAGTCCTGTGCCCCACTCGAGAACTCGTGCTAGTACCTGGTAGGCTGGTACACTCACACCCCGTTATCCCGGACGGCCAAAATCTAAAGAATCTGTCCGGTACAGCGGGTTATCCAGAACAACGAGTCAAGTTTTGCTGTGGAAATTTTTGGAATTCACAACATTTCATACGGGACAGCGAGGCATCCGTATTATAGAGATCCGGGACAGCGGGGTTTGAGTGTACAGTGCACAGAGGTCAGAGGTGAAATTGTGGCGCAGCTACTCGAGCAGCATTCCAGTATGATACCGGTAGGAGTACGAGTACTGTCGCAGTGATTTCGCCTGTGCATTGCCTGTACGAGTACACTTGGGAAGCGTGACCTCGACGAGCTTGATAACCTTGACCAACTTTACACGTACGGAGATGTAGTTGATAGACGAGCGGTCTAGCCCCTGGTCCGGTACCCCCCCGTAGGAGGAAGAAGAAGAAGGAAGAAGGAAAACTCCGGCCTCTTATCGCGCGATGGAAGGTTTGGCTTTCCAGGCGGGCTGGTTGCCGCCTACCGCCACTTCTAACCAGAACCGGCCTGGACACCCCTGCATGCTACCACCTTTTTCACTTGCGATGCTCGGGCCTTGTGTTACGATGCCGCTGCTCGTCAGTAGCTTCTATGTTCGTATTAACTTGATTCATTGGTTTTCGGTGGGACTAGCCAGTACGAGTATGGTACCGTACAGTGCGGGGGCAAGCCGTAACTCTATTGGCTGTCCAAATAATTTTTGTTGAGGCGTCATCTATTGGCCCGCCCGGTGAGGCTGTTAAAGGCATGATTTGGATGACACCGGTATGATGCTTCAGTGCTACCGGTACGATACTCGAGTACTCCCGACTCGACGGACCGGTGCGCGGTACTGTCCAGTAAGGTATTCGGGTGTCATACTCCAGTTTGCTGGATGCCCTTCCCACCGCCGTGGGGCCCGCTCCCCAACCTCTGCCGGTTTCAGCGCAACGCTCGCCAAGCACTGCACCTTTAACCCCCAACCAACGCATCGACGGTAGTCAGCTACCCGTACTCGTAAATTTCCAAGGTATCCGGACAGCCCCCTTGGCTCCAGGGATCTGCGGTTGTGCCGGCCTTAGCATCAAACTGTCCAGATACCTATGAAATCCGTGGGTGGGTAACCATCTAACGAAACACCCCGCCAGAACTATCATCATCTAACCAATGTGATCTCTGCCTACCCTGCCTTATCCTACATGCACAGCTGAGCCCAAAAATTTCCCGACTCGGCCAGTTGAGCTACGATCCGCAAAACCTCCGTCAGCTTGCGGCGGTTTCTACTATGCAACACAAACCAAACCCGAGGAGGGGAATCCCCCGCACCTGTCGGAGAGTTTGCGTGTTGGGAGAGCTTGACCGATACTGGTATACTAAATTGGCATCACAGCTGAAGATGCCATGCAGTGCACCGTGTGTCTGCTTGCTAGCTACAGGATTTACACCAGGATACTGGTCCGGCAGCTAAGCCCCGCGGCGGAACAATCAAACCTCTCCTTTCGCTTTCAATTTCGGGATGGAGAGGGGGGATCGAGTGGATGGGGGGTTTGGTGATGTTTGAATTATGGACAGCGCCCCTCTCCGTACGAACCGTTCCGCGCGGCGGCTCGCGCGGTCATACGCTGCGCAGCACGAAAGTGTTTCTCATACAAACAAATTCAGATGACGACTAACCGCCTTAAGGCTGCGACGGAAAGCATGTTTGTTTGGTTGAAACTCTAGTTTTAGGGTGCCGGATGGGCATGATTGCGCTGATTCTGCGATTGTGGTGGTACAGTACTCGTATATATTGGTCTCTCGCCAGTATCGCAAACGGGGACTAAATGGGATATGCGGATGTCCAGGACTAAGTGCGTAACCGAGTTCTCAAATCTCGGTCGAGATTTACATGAGTTTAGGATGAGTTGATTTTCCTCCGGCTCATTCAGAAAAGGAAGTATCCGAAAATAGGGACTGCATTCGGCCGATATATGGCACAAACCAGCACATATCGGTCCCCTCATGCAGATCCACCACTCGTATTTTCGGAGACCCCCCGCCCCGCTCGAGGCGAGTGCAAACGAGCAATGGTACGGAACATCCGTCCGTTCAATTCATTCATGGCGTCAGTTACGGACACTCACCCCATATGGGCCAGCACGCAGCTAAGGGATCGCCCCACACAAATGGCCGTTAGCTTCCGTTACAAAAGAACCCGAGACAACTGTTTCTACAAATAAAATTGCCACAAAACGGAACGGTTGCTCCTCCTTCCGTTTTTGCCAAACAGGCCCTAAACTACATTGCATTCAAGATAAACCAACTTTACCTCGACCATCCCATCACGGGAGATCTAAGGAACGAAGAGAAGATTTTGATCTCCTGGAGATCGAGGCGTGATTGAATGCTGTTTGTGATATATGGTTGTTATATTCTCCCCGCCAGGAAGTCCGTGTGATAGCGGTTTCTCCAGAAGGAGAGATTGGCTCGGTCCGAGTAGGGATGGGGGTTTGGTGCAATTAAAGTTTGTTGTTGATTTCTCTCTTGAACTAACTAGAGATTATCTAGGATTCGGGGACCAATACCGCACCCCTCCGTGGGGGCGGAACGGCCTTTTTATTCGCATCTCGGTTGTCGTGTTAGTGTACGAGTACTATACTCTACACTCACTAGGGAAAGCGGCGCCGCTCCAATCGGGCGACATAGGAAGGCGATCTTGTAACTGTCTAAAAGCCAGATTGTTGGTGTCGCCACTTATGATGCAACCCCCACCGCCCCACTATTGCCAGCACCACCGTTTTGCAGCATACTTCAAAGCCCCCGGGATCAGTCCTTGGTTTATCATCGGAGATCAGCCCGTCAGCCTACCGTATCTACCATACTGTAATAGTTGAACCGCTCGTCGGGACGTCCAAAATTCCCTCTCTCGGGTAGGGGGACCAAAACACCCCGGAATCTGACCCCCTTAACCCTAGCTTACGACAAGGAAATAGTAAAAAAAGGGCATCACCTTACTAGCAAACTCCGGCGTCCTCGTGCGAGGTTCTATTATTCCAGTAAATAGGGTATGGTAAGCTCACAAATAGTCCGATAGGCTGAGAGAACCTCCACCACCGGTTAAAGAGCTCAAACTTGTTTAGTGGGCTAATCTTATCTTGTGGCTGGAAGCGGTAATCCTTCTCGGCGGCTTTTTTTTCCGGATCCGCATATTACATGGCTGGCCGAGATAGATGATTGCAGGGGATTTTGCGGCATCGGGTTCTTGGGATTCGAGCTTCTCCTTGGTTGATGGTGGTAGGAGGCAGGAATATAGTACACTGACCGGATGGTTTCAGTACCCGTGGGTCCTGTATCCGCTCCATATACGCCTCCCCAGGGCGTCAAATGTCTGAATAACTACTTCTTGATTTTCCTATACCTATATTACATATTTTCGCCCTGCCATTCGGGGTCGATCCGTGAAGGTTTATGTCCTCAATTGAATATTGAGATTGTAGGTAATAGCAGGTTTTTGTTAACTTACCATCCAGGATGCATCCACTGCTGGGGGTCTCCCAGGTAATTCCTCGGACCTTAACTTAATGCCCTCTTTCAAATTTCGCTGCAGGTTCTCTTCTCTTGTCGCCATCACGAGCAATCATTCTCTTCCAACTCTGAAAATGGCCGGCGCGCCGGGAGGCCCCACGCGGAGACTGCCAAAAGACCGCAGCGGACCGGACGGGGCTATGATGTTATAGCCCCGCGTTTTGGGGGATGTAAGTTTTCAGCAAGCACGGTGGCAGGACAAAGTACATCACTACACAGTCAATTGGCTGAACTATAGGTGAACGGAGTGGACCACCTGTTTTAGCCAAATACAATTGGCACCGTGGTGATCCCCCGGGGATTAAGGAAGACTGTGAGGGAAGCGAGTACGACTAGATTCGAGGCGATGAGTGGCTAGCTGTTGAGTCGTCTTGTTTCAATTGCGGAAGGGTTGTCAGTTTGTTTGTTCAGATTGGTTATCTGGCCGGGGGAGGTAACCTTCACAGGTAAAGAAGGAAAGGGGGAGGAAAAAAACTCCGAGGGGTTCTGGGGGTGATTTTGCGTTACCATAATATTATGAAACTTGATATTGCCATAAGAAATCACTCGCATATCCACACTTGCATGTATAAGTCAGGCAACAACCCGACTTTCTGAGAAGCATAGTACCACCCACCCCCTTATCCCTCAAGGTACTGTAAGAACTCGAAATTGGCACTCGGCTTGGGATGTCTAAACTTCTCACTCTCGGATAAATGGGTAAAAACACTGCGAAAGCTAATCCCCCAAGCCCTAGCTTAAGATGAAAATGCGCCAGACCATGCCAGTAAAGGCAAGTCGAACGTCCTAGCACGAGTGCCAATTATTCCAGTACTCACTATAGCACACGTTAGCGCAAGTTCTCCAGGTTTCCCCGGAGGTGCACAGTTGAGAGAGCCTAGCATATAGCGTGACATGCCACCCCACAAAATCCCAACGTGAAACCCTTACCAAAGCCAATTAAACTACGAATTGCACTTCTCCTCGTACAGTACGACCTTCACGAAGGATGGGAAACCCACTTACCCGCATTGTATCATTTTGATGTCTACTCTTTAGGAAAATGGAGGGGCTGAAAATCCTGAAGCCGGCTGGCCCGTACGTACCTTATCAGGGGAGGATACATACATTCAGTAAGAGAATATGGGTATGTATAATATATCGATAACTGATTGCTGTGTGCGCCCTATCCTTGCGAATAGAGAGAGAAATATCGGCAGAGGGGATATCAGATCTGTAAGGGAAAATGCGTTTTCACACTTCATGCCGAGTGGGGGGGGAGGGTGAGAGATTGGTGTATTGCTGGTATATAAGCGGAGGATTCTGTCGGGTAGATGGTGGGCTTATAGGTATAGAACGAATGTCACGGTGGGTGTTCACCTGAAAGTGAGTACTCGATAGAGGATGCTTGGAGCAGATACCGGTATACCTCCAACTTATAAATACCCTTCGCTCTTTCTAACAATGAATGTGTTCATGTCCGACTGCTTTTTTTCTTTTTTTCTTTTTTTTTTTTTAAAAAAAACGGGGGTCAGTTCACCCCTGGATCGACAGTGAATTGACGGTTCGGTGGTTGATTCCAATCTTCACCGACAGATTCCGGTCCGTTCTATATCATGCTGGAGTCTGCATAGTACAGTAAAGTTACCAAATTCGGGATTCGTAGATCCCGTCACAAGCCAAATGATAAACGGATTGAACCCCCATTATGCGGACCGGAAATATCACGACGTTTCTTTTAGCTCGTTTTTGTTTTCCGGGAGGATTTATATGATGCTGAACGGGGACTTAACTTATGCCTTCGAAAGGCACATTTACACCGAAGGTGTGAGTGTTTTCTTCCTTCGCGGTGGTAGAACTCCACTACCGTGGCGGGAATGGACTAATTCTTAGTAAGGTATTGGTCTCGTGTGCTTCCATTAACGCTGTTCTATTGAAATTCTAGAGCGCATGGTGCAAGATTGTCTGGTGTAATTTGAAACTTTTAATCCACATTTGTGAGGAACTTTTTTGAACGGCGCTTAGACGTGTTCCCGCTGCTGCAATGGCTTTCGGATTTTGTGGAGTTGGTTGCCCCGCGCTACCTATAGAATCAAGAATTTGTTCCAAAATCAAGAGTTTCAGGCAGCTATCGATATATTATCCGGTTAAATTCATCAATATGGGGGAGGGGGGGGGGGGTGCAAAGAATCAGTCCTCCAGTCCCGATTTTTGATTTTTTTTGCCATTTTGGTGCAAGTATGTTTTACCCGGTGATACTTTGTGCGGTATAATATAATACGGTACTGTATGCACTTGGGTTCGTCAGCGAAGACTTTTGTCTGGGGAACATTATATTTCAGTGGCGATGTATTCGGCATTCCACAAATATTTTCCGCACAATGCCCGTTCTGTAGGTGGTCGGCCAAAATCCATTTCCATAGAAGCTGGGAGCGGCACTGTACATTCGGTGGGCAAAAGAGGAAAGATCTTGGTGTAGGGCACATCTGCCCTAAAATTTCGCTCTCTAGGTTGAACCTTGGCAGGGAAAAGGGATTTTTTTTAAAAATTAAAAGCCATCCAAATAGTTCTATATGTGGGATATAGTTCTTTTCGCTCTCGGGAAAGGAATACGTGACAGCTCGTCGACTATACTGCGAGAGGAGGGCTTAATTACATAGAATACTGTCACTTCTGCTCTCTGCTTGGCGTGCTTTTGTGGGTTGTGGCGAAGAACGAGTATTCCTGGTATTGTTGATAGCAGAGAGTCCAGGAATGGACTTCACCAATGATGGTAATTTCGCGGACGGTTGAGAAAGCGGATTGAAGAAGAAAAGACTGCTCTGCAAGACAAGATGAGAGAGAGGAAAAAGGGGAAAAGAAGAACTCTGGTAATACATGTCTCTTCCTCGGAATTCCTGTACCCCCCCCAATTATTCTCTACCAGACCCTTTACAAGCCGCGTTTTCATCATCCTCATCCATAGAAATAAATAGAAACTTATAATGAATGAACAAAAGCTAACTTAGATGACAACTATTGTTGTCATCCTCAACGTATGCTTTCGTCTCCCCTAACAATACTGTTCAATCGTTCGGGGGTTTAATCTCTCCTGATGACTATCTTCAGCGGGGGCAATTTTCTAGTTTGTGTTAATGATTCTTAATTTTTACTTAATCTTCTGCATGACACTACGTCGGTTATGGTATTTCTTCCAAGTGCTGTCTTCCAAGTACTGGAGTGACCTTTTCCTTCAAGAAGTGGGAACAATATCGGTTCGACGGGGGGGGGGGGGGGGGGGTGTGATACATCTTATAAACACGAAACAAACAATAACCCATTAAAGGAAATACCTGGCTAGATAAGCAACGCGATGAAGCCCATAAATGGGAATTCAGAGAAAAACAGGGACTAAATCAACTTCTCTCCTCCCGGCCCGGGAATATGGAAATGCTTCCCGAACAAGACCTTTCCGACGACAATTGATAATGAAACTGTAAGGAAAGGTACATGTAGTGAACGAGTTGATATGATAGAGAACTAGGGAAATGGATAGGTCCGCTTTTGAATGGAATTGAACAGTAGCCGCGAGCGCAGTAGAGAAACGGCTAAGGCTAGAAGGTGAAGCGGGGGGGATGAGATTTTCCTTGCCAAGTTAGTTGTGTTGTGGCCTGAAAAATGGAGAAATTCTGGGGCGTGTTACCAGCCTGGTGTCTTAGGCGCCCGTGTGTATGAAGGGAGCCCAGAGTAGAGGGTTGCCCGGACTGCGATCTCGAACTTTTTTGACAGCTTTGTAAAAAGCTGTGGAGACAAGGCAGTCGTCATCGTCGCCGTTTTCCTGATGTTGGAAAAGCAAGCGGTAGAAATCTCGTGCAACCTCACAGGCCGCATCGTCATTTGTTTCCCACAAGTTTGCGAATGTGTGGCTGAACCCGGCGAGCTGAAACGCACTAGCTAGGTGTATGACTTCGTCGGCCAACATAGCGGAGGGATTTTTAGCCGAGGAGCAGGCAGAAAGGTACGCAATCTGTGCATTTTGTGTAGACAAATTCGATATATCTCGAGCCAGGAGCCTATCAGTATTGATGCCGTCCTGGTTGAACAGAACCAGGTGGCTGTCAGAGGGGTTGAGACAAGACGCTCCATGGCAGGCAAAGTGGACAATCTCGTGGTGCTTAATCCCCTCGAGGACCTGGGCCGGGGCTGGACTACTCAATAGCGTGGTTTCGATTGAACTTTTGGCAGAAGAATCAAGTATATAGAGCACTTCTTCGTTCACTCCTGGTAGCTTCGCTGCACCTGGGGTTTCTGGCATCGGAACGAGAAGTAGGCGGGGATTGCGTTTTTTGAGAATTTTGGCTTTCTTGGAGCGCTCCTCTGAGAAAGATGAATCAAATTTGTCAAACAATTGAAATTGTTTTTGGCGTGCATAGGAGAGGGCTTTGATTGTTGGGGTATATGTCGAGATTGCTCGACTCAGGGTGTTCCGGGTTGACCCTGGTGAATGGTCCCCGGCCGCATGGAAAGGTGCCATACTTAATTGCCCAACCCCAATCCACCAAATCCGCCTCAAATGGGCTTCGTGAACGCCAACACCGGGAGTGATGCCGCTGCCTTCGAGGTGGTCAAAAACAGGTCCCACTGCTGCATCCCATAACCAAAGAAGGAGGCCTTTCATTTCTCTGGTATCCCGACCTCGCTTAAACGGGGACCCTCCCCCAAAACTAGCCAATTGGCTCATACGCCGGGTTGTTTCTTCGTAGCTCAATTTCGGAAGTTCTAAAGAAGTTATAGCTGAGGTCGTGACAATAATGGCATCACTCCTATAACTACTGCTGTTGAAGACAACGATAGGGCCATTTGTTGCCATTCTCATTAGTGCATCTCGGGGAGGGGGGAGTAGGAATCCCCCATAGCCAGGTAAACCGCGGATGTGCTTTAGAATTTTCTCCATCTCATTGACAGCTTCCCAGCGTCTGGATATAACACGCTTTTGGTGTTGGTCTGGTGGTTCATCAATTGTCCGGTTCGTACCTTCTATTGACGAGTCGATCTCAGCCCGAATACTGTCAAATTGGGCGAATAGCAGAGGGTGGTCGGTTTCAAGATCGGAGGCTTCAGACCTTGCATCTATTGAAAAGCCCATAATTATTCCACGTCCGAGCTCTAGTAACTTAAGACCATGATAGGCATCTCTCCCTGCTTGAAGAGCCATGGAAGCAGCAATGGATGCTAGCCCAGAAAGTTCAGATAATATGTGCTGTTGGTCATCTCGCTTTAGGAATCGGAGGTCAACACTTGGCATCAGGTTAACTGCATCCTCGAGAGAGGAACTTGATTCGGGAAAGTTTCTAGCTAAATATTGCAAAGAAGCAGCTTTTCGAGCCGCATGAATCCGGTTCCTGGGTGGTGAAGTGCGACAATCGTATGCCTCGTAGTATAGGCTGAGGCCTTTCTCAAAGTCCTCGGAGGAGTGTAGACGGGAGAATCTTGATTCGAAGAGTCCACCCAGGATAGTGCAGATGCCTGCGCGCTGAGGGTGATCCTGTGGGGTAGCAGCTAGTGCCTCTTCGCCGTGCTTGATGGCTTCGTGGAGGTCTCCAGGGTCTCCCATCCGCTCAAATCTTGTAGAAAGCATAATTCCCAGGCTGCGATGTCTACCTGCTCGATCTGGGTGATCCTGAGGGGTAGCAGCTAGTGCTTCTTCGCCGTACTTGATGGCATTTTGAAGGTCTCCGAGGTCTCCCATCCGCTCAAATATTGACCACAGCATATGTGCCTGGTTCTCGTGTCTACCTGCTCGATCTGGGTGATCCTGAGGGGTAGTAGCTAGAGCTTCTTCGCCGTAATCGACGGCTTTTTGAAGGTCTCCAAGGTCTCCTATCCGTTCAAATCTGATAAACAACCTAGCTCCTAGGTTACTGCGCACGGCCAGGCGGTTGGGGTGACCTTGAGGGGTAGCATCTAGTGCCTTTTCTCCGTGCTTGATGGCTTTGTGGAGGTCTCCGAGGTCTCCGATCCGCTACATATCTGGTGCACAGCCTATTTCCCAGGTTATTATATCTACCTACTCGATCTGGATGATCTAGAGGGGTAGCAGCTAGAGCATCTTCGCCATAATTGATGGCTTTTTGAAGGTCTTCAAGGTCTCCCATCCGCTCAAATCTTGACCACAGCATATTTGCCAGGGTATCATGACTTCCTGGTCGATCTGGGTGATCCTGAGGGGTAGCAAGTAGTGCTTCCTCGCAGTACGTGATAGCTTTTTGAAGGTCTCCAAGGTCTCCTATCCGCTCAAATCTCGTATACAACAGGGCTCCTAGGTCACGATGT